TAATACTGAGGGGCAGAATATGTTTCCTAATGTTTTCTACAACATTCAAGCTGTCATAAATGATTTATTTTATTTTTTTACTAAAACATGAAGAAACTGTAGAAGAAGGGAATACACCAAGTGCAATCAGAATTTAAAAATGTATGATTTGGTGATATAATACCAGCATTTAGCTGGGAAAAACAATCAACGTTTCACCAAAAGTATAAACAGGGCACTGTACCTTCCAGAGGTGAAAGAGGAGTGCTAGACATTATGCTGCCTTAGATATTATAACCTTAAGGAATAAAAACTTCAACAAATGTGTGAAAAGATAGAGACTCAAGCAGCAGCAGCATTAAGTGCTTACCTGTAAGTTGGGACAGGAAAACCCTGCGCTGGGCACAGCAATGTAAAACTTTTATCTCTGATAACTTGGAAACCCCGCACATTATCCATGGTTGGAAATTTTGGTATGGAACTGCCTACTGGCTCTATGAAATTAAAGTTAAGCCAATCAGAATGCAATGCTGTCTCACCTGAATGCTGGAACAGGGAATCCCTGAGCAGGACAGAGCAAGGTGAAATTATTATTCACTTTAGCTTCGAACCCCCGACTTTTGTCCATGGTAGGGAATTTGGGCACAGAACTGCCAACTGGTTCTGACAGGGAGGAAACAAGGAATCAAGTTAACTCTGAAATGCTCAATATCAGATTAATAATTATGCAATTTAGCTATCAATTTATGTGCATAATTAAAATACCAGAGATTCCCACGATATTAAATTTGAATAACACAACCTCAAAGTTTTCTACAACACCATGTTTGTAATTGTTAACATAATGAAAAACGGTTCCCACATAAATTATTCAAAATTTCATATGGCATCCAACTGGAGGCTGACTATAGATTCTGCATGCCTTCTACAAAAACTACCTTAACAAATGTTTTCAAAAACCTAGTACCACACAAAATTCCTGGGTCCTACATCAAGTGTCATTATTGTCACTTCAACATCAGAATTTTTCACAGCTCCCACATTGGTATTACTGATGACAAGACATAAACTATACAAGTGACAAGGTGTCCTCTGAAGTTCAAACATTTTGTAAAACTGGTTATAAAGTCACTGGAGGCAGTAAAGACACGAACATGATGATAGCACAGCATTATCCGGATCTAGTCAAAATGTGCTTTCCTTGTGGCCTGGAAGGTGAGTTGTTTCCTAAATTTTGTTCCGATGGTATGTTTTAAATTACCTTTCTCATCTGTTGTGCTGGCTGCCAGGACATTCTTACACCTTTCTTCCCCTCCTCCTTCACCACCACCCCCTCCCCCAGCATTACTTATTATTCAAATTGTTCTGGCTTGTACTTCATTATTACTGTGCTCATAACCTGTAGGGTGGCAGTGGCTGGTACAGTTTGCCAACAGTGTCTACGCAATGTAAAACTACGCCAAGATTAGAATTCACAGGTGTAACCATACGACTGTGCTGTGTGTTACGGCCCTCTGTGACTGTGTAGATTGGACTCCCTTCTGATAAGTTAACTCTTGAAGTTACACAAAATATTCTATATTAAAAATATATTAAAATTGGCCGTCAATCACAATATAAGATAGTTAAAAGATTAAAATATCATTTTACGTTCCTTATCGAGTACTCGATTTACATGTGGAACATTTACGACATGTTTCGGCTATATATAGCCGTCATCAGGTGTTATATTATAAACTTTTTAACTGAATTACTGATTTTTACTGATATTTAATGATCAAAAAAAATCATTAAAAAAATCAAAAAATCATTAAATATCAGTAAAAATCAGTAATTCAGTTAAAAAGTTTATAATATAACACCTGATGACGGCTATATATAGCCGAAACATGTCGTAAATGTTCCACATGTAAATCGAGTACTCGATACGGAACGAAAAATGATATTTTAATCTTTTAATTATCTTATATTGTGATTGACGGCCAATTTTAATATATTTTTAATATTTAATAAATCACAATATGACGCACTTACAATATCTTACAAAATATTCTGATAAATTGCCGTACACTATGTCCATTCAATCTGTTTGGCTCAAATTTTGTTGCTGTTAAGTCCCTCACTACTAAAATCAACCAAACTAACACCAACTCATTCACTCCATGGTATATGGTCTTCCTTAAGCAGCCGGCACTTCAAAAAACTTCCTGCTATTATGAATCTGAATATTTATCACTGTGTTCACAGAAGCCTACAGGACTGAGTTTTACAAAACACTACTGAATGGACGACAGGAAAGAAAGGGGGTGGAGTGAGGTTGAAAAGATGCATGAATTACAAGGGAATAACAACCTTACAATATCTTAACTCCATCACAAATTAGGTTTTCACTAGCAGCAGACAACTTCACAGTTTTATAACCCCCTGAAAATAACCTGTGAATAACCTGTGCAGATAAGTCAACTATAAATCCATCAATCAATCATCAATTTATATTAAAGCAACAGACATCAGGCAGCACTGTGTATGACCTGACCACATGAGAGTTCATTCATCAATTCCTAATATAAACAACAAAAGATACTATATGCCCATGCAAACTGTAGAAAATGTCTGCTTGATACTACCAAGGATACGAAAAGTGCAGGAAGCTAAACAGATTTATGTATGGACTTTGCAAATTGATCTTCAGCACTGATGATATTAATAGTTGTGTGACGTGAAGAATTGTAAATGTAATCATACGAACGAAATATCATACCACCGCTCATTTCACTATGCATAATTCATCATGCACCACCTGAATTCTACTAGCTCTTATAAACTACAACTTACCTTTAGACTGGCTCGATATGGAAAGTGGATTGTAATACGGAGCAATTTCAAGTAACATAGCCACTGTTGCCAAGATAAGATTACCAACATTTAATTTAGAAAATCAACCGATTACATTTTTGAAAAGTGCCCATCCACTTAGCAGGGGTACCCTATCCCAACATTCAGGCAACATTTTTTTTTTTAAGTTGAATGTGTCCTGAGAACACATTCAACTGTCACATGCACTTTGCAATTCTCAAGTTGTACTTAAACCAAATAAATTGTGACAAGTTCATATTATATGTTACTAAGTACAAAACAAACTGCATAATATTCACCCAAGATCACTACAAGCCAACAAATCACAAAACAAATGTTCCAAAACAAGTCAACTTTTATTTACTGATGATAACTGTACATGATCTTGAGTGGTGGGTGTCTGTCATAAAGAGATATTCCTGCCCCTAACAGATTGCAAGACCAACATGTTTCCCATTTTGTTTACAACGGTTTCTATTATTAACCACTGTATTTTGATTGTGTTTACTATGAATGCTCAGATAAAACCAGTGCAACTTGTAGATTGCTCAAGGTAAAGACTTGATACAGCATTCTTGCGTGCCATGTTCCATAACTGCCACGCACACAAGCGACCCCAAATATATGCATGTGTACTTGAATAAATATTATTTCTGTAAGAGAAGTCTGTCACTATTATAGGTTTCATAATCACCGCTGTGAGAACCTCAAGTCTTACAGGTTATACATTGTTGGTTCTCCCTTTACATTACTTTGTTCTTATTTCAAATCACAGTCATTAGACAGTGTGCTGCAAAATTAACCCTTCAAAGCCTAGTTATTAACTGCATGTACCACCTGCCTTAAAAATCAGTAATTGCATGTTCGCCCACAAAGTGTATTTATTGATTTCATATGATTCTCAGAGTAAACAGTAATTTTTTTCCTTAAACATTGTTCGTTGTAATGGCATCAGGTTGTGTTTTCTCTCAGGTAAGAAATTAATGTTTAAATAATTTAATACTAGCTTTGGCTTCAAAGGGTTCATACATTTACTCCCCAAATGTTTAATTCTAATATTTACTTTTGTAGTGCATTCCCACGAACAACTATTAATATATTTGCCAATAACTTCTGAAACTGTACAACACAGGAATATCTCTCTATCACCATAATGGTAACAATAGTTTGTTATTTCAAATTGTCCTTTTCGTCACGACAATGTAACAATTCTGGAATGAACATACATTGTTTAAAAACAAAGTATGTACTTTATAAAATCAAAGAAAATTATGGTCAACTTGAAACAACATTAAAAAGCACAATGCCCTTTCTCAAGCATTCAATAAAGAACAAACACATCCATTTGTTCACAAATTACTATGCAATTTAAACTTCATCACACGTCCAACAATTATTGGAACAAATATATCTTCTGAACTACATTCAGTTAATTTCTGTGAAGTTACTTCTATGTGCTTAGTCATTATTTTCAAGTTTTCATGTTTATAATTATGAGAATGGTATGACAGGTACCAGAAAATCCAGTGATGAAAGTGTAGGAATAATGTGCAATACAGAACCATCTCAACTCATGAGTACCAATTATACAATCATAACCATCTGGTGTCAATGACAAGCTACCATCAATATTTAAGGCCAGTTAAAATTAAGCTTGACTTGATTTTAGCTTGTTTAACCCTTTCTGTACAAGAACATGAGATTTAAACCTGTTTATTATGGGGCCGTTAGTTGGACTTAACTTTGATTTCAAATTACTACCACAATGGTAGTATTATGGTTATAGCTGGTTGTCTAACTTGTCTCTAAAACAGCAGACATGTTTAAAATTGGTTTACCATAAGAGGATAATTACACATAATGATTTGGAAGTAGTTGGATAGATAAGGCTGTGGCCTCTGCAAGATATCATCTTGGCAAAGCAATACACATGTCACGATAGTATGATAGCCAGTGCCATGGCCAAGGTTCAAACTGTGCACCTCTAAAATGCAAGTATGCTACGTTACCACTCGAACTAACCTGCCAGTTATTTTAACTACGCTGAGCAAGAGGTATATAAACTTCTGATCAGGGCTGTTAACATCCTGCTGTTCAGTAAACAGAGTTTCAATTCTGGGCATTGTGCTTATGAAGACGAGACAATAAAATTATTCCACACTCACCAGTGATGACTAAACGACCCTTAGTTGCACTCAGTCTTGTCTCTCCAGTGAGGCGATGCTTTGTTCGACACTGGTAAGATTTATAACCATCTTCTGGTCCAACATCACGAATATGAAGCTCTCCAGAAGGGAGCACCAAGTACTTTCCATCTGCATACACAAAACATCATTGTACCTTCCACAATATATACACACTGCAAGCAACACCTGAACGCATTTCATAAACACTCCGATCCCCAATGTACTGTTAAAATGTCTTATTATACTTGTTCTCGTTAATGCTTTCCTGTGCAAAGATTTCTAGAGCAGCGATTCTCAAGTGTGACTGTCTACTAATCACGCTAACACAGAAAAGTAAGATTTGACTAGATTTAATTATTTCCACCTGGACATCAGAATATGCCTGATATTATAGTTTGTTTGTAATAAACACAACTTGGGTAATAACAACCATCTATTCTTATATATTTTGGAATACTTAAAACAAAACTTTATTTAAAAGTGACATACTGCTAACCATTTTCTTTCATTCTATTATTGTTTCAAAACCATAATACAAAGTAGGAGGGGAATTACTTTATCTTGAGTTCATCATGAGAGGGTCAGGATTTAGTGAAGGCAGAGTGACAGAAAATTAATTATGACACAATAATGTAAATTATAAATAAGCTTTCGAAGATATCACCTGTTTCATAGCTAATTTTTCATTGCCTTAGATTTTTTCAACACATTTCCAGCTTTAAATACATTATCTTAAAAAACTTTATGCTCAAGTATATTATGGTCAAATTAAGATGAGCACTGAGTATCAGAGGAATGATGAGAGGTAGCGTAAATAGGCAGTACTTGAAAAAGAATTTGCTGACTTACCAAAGTGAAACTATTACCATTCAACTAACTCATACCTGCTAACAATAAGTAACATGCTATTTCTGACAGAGTGTTCTATGAATTCTAGTAGTGTTGCATGCAATGGGTATTACATAATCTTTATTAACCCTCTTTCTTAAATTACCACAACCTTTCAAATGTCTTACAAGTACAAAACTTGCTACTACAGAAAATACGCCCTGGTAAATATAACCGAAATATGAGAAGCAGCAAGGAATTCTGACTTTGGTGGTTGTGGTACATAAGAATAAAGGAATCATTTAGCAATAACAGTTAACTTTTAACCGCACAGCTTAGCAAGAAAAATACCACCAAACTATTATGTTAACTCGTAACAAAAGAAATAATGTACTGATTTCAAAACATTCATGCATTTTATAGAATGGTTTAACTTGAGAAGATTTTCAAAGTGGTATTTCTACTTTAATGTTACATTTTTATTCACCGATTATAAAAATTAAATTGAATTTGAACTACAGTATGACATGGACTTCAACACATAAAAATATACACATGTTGAGGGAAAACGGGAACCGTTAATTCTACACACAAATAAAGAGTTCATAAAGCCTGT